TCTAAAGGGTCCTGGAACACACCCTAGGACCCTTTAGAGACTCACCCTGCCCCCCGGGGGTCAGAGGGGGTGAAATCACCACCTTCTGGGACTCTTCTGAAGCTTCCCAAGCCTCAAAAGACTGCCAGAAGGTGGTGATTTTGCCTGCGCTGGCCCCTAGAGGGTGGGGGAGCATTGCAAGGGTCCTGGAAGGCTCATTCGGACCCTTGTGATGCTCCCCCCACCCCCCACGGGGCCAGCAGGGGCGAAATCTCCCTGGAAGCTGGCAATTTTACCCACGCTGGCCCTGTCGGGGGTGGGGGGAGTGGTGCAAGAGTCCTGGAAGGCTCACTCAGACCCTTGCAATGCTCCCCCCCACGGGGCCAGTGGGGGCAAAATCGTGGCCTTCGCTCCATAAGACGCACAAACTTCCCCCCACACACACTTTTTTGGGGGGGAAGTGCATCTTATGGAGCAAAAAATACAGTAGGCTAAGTTAATGACTATAGCGTTATACTGCATACAGATTACACCTGGGCAAAAGGATCACCACTAGATCTAATTATTTCAACGAACATCTCTCTGTATATCCCATGTTTATGTCATAATATCTTCAGGGGAAGCCCTATAGTCCATACTATTGTCTACAGATTTTCATTTGTCAGTAAGGAGGAGGCAGTGCTCTGCAGTGGCACTTAATGAGTTTCCCACTGTGGTATATCGGCATTGGTGCATTTTAAGTGTTTACCCAAAATTTGTTTTTTTCCCCTGACCCAAGAGCTGGTCAGACTTTTGTGTATGTATGTTATACTCTTGAATTGCTACTGAATCATCTTACTGTTTTATGATGTTGTTGCAAGCCACTTTAGTACTTCTGTAGATGACAAGTATTACAGAAATATATCTAATAAAATCAATTAAATAAACATATGGCACATATGCTAAATCAGAAAAGCTGAGTCGGCTGTGTTTGTCCGCGAGAAAAACAGAGCACAGATTCACAGGTGGACAACCCATTTATTAAAATCTGAACAGGAACATACAAGTTTGCAGATGCTCTTCATCTATTGCAAGAGTCCTGGAAAATTAGGCCAGAGAAACACCAGAGAACTTATCAAAATTGACTTGGGGTTTTCTAAAGAAAAAATTAAATATTTACTCCTGTGGCTGGGAATATTGCCTGGATTGGAGTTAGGCTAAACCAAGCACTATCTGCATTTGTCTCAGTGCCACTCAGTTCCTAGGAAGTCAACTATGAAGAAGGTAAAAACCACAGGCTCATTTTGTACAGTACTATGACTGCAGAAAGCAAGCTGCTGTTGATTTCATTCAGTTGGGCTTGAGTTAGAAGTCCAAAAGAGTCAAATCTCCAGTTTTGCTAGAGTCAATCATTATGGTCCACAAACCAATCAACTAACTTGATTCTCGACTGAAAATCACAATATTAAGACAATTTCTTAAAACAGTAATAATTTTGCAACCCTTTGCCAGTTATTTCTTCTGCAAAGTGCAATATCTAGGTTACTTAGTTTGATTTTCTTATGGAAGGCATAACCAAATCACTGTATTTGTTCTCTCTTATTTCCATTTCAT